AGGGATTGAAACAGGAAGAGTGCTGACACATTATGGGCGTTATAACAATGTCACAGAACAATTGGTGTATGAATGAGAATCTAATTTATTGTGTAAAGTTTCACCTATAACACTAATTTTTTTTTTTTTAATTTAGTAACTTTGTTGTTGTTGTTAAGTGCCATTTAGTTGGTTCCCACTCATAGCTACCCTATATAAGGATTTCCAAGGAACAATTGGTGCATTTGAACCCCTGACCTTGTGGTTCACAGTCCAGTGCTTATCTTATGGTACCACACCAATCGAATTCTTCCTTACAAAACGGGTGGTGTTCTCATCAGTATCCTAGGGCAAACTTTTTTCCATCTGGGCATACATTTTGAATGCTTTTGTTAAGTGTCATTAAGTCAGTTATGAATAATAGTGACCTGTGTAGGGTTTGCAAGGCTGTAAATCTTTGCAGAAGCAGAAAGCCTCATCTTTTTCCTGCAGAGTGCCTGGTGGGTTTGAACTGCCTATCTTTTGGTTAATAGCCCAGTACTTATTCTACAGAGCCACCAGCATTCGGAAATATTGAGCAGGAGTATATTTAAACGTTTTCTTTCCTTATTCTTAAAAAAAATTATAGAAATATCGAACAAAGGGAAACTGTCATAACAGAACTCTAGTAAGATTTGCTTACAGTGTAAGAGTCGGCTTTACCACCAGCTTCCATTGAGTTGATTCTGTCTCATGAAGGCTTCACATAGCACTGCGCTCCATAGGATGTTTTGTTGTTAAGTGCCATCAAATTGGTCCTGAATCAGAGTGACCCTGTACAAGGTTTCCAAACAGTGTGTAGTAGTTGACTTTTAAAGAAGATCTTTCTTCTGAGGCTCTTCACGGTGGACTCAAATATTAATTTTGATAAAGTTAAAAATACGAGGACCAGAACTCAGGAAAGATGAACTGTATTGAAAAAATATCTTTTTACTTATCATGCATTTCTGTTTCGGTTTGTTGTTGTTGTTAAGTGCTGTCAAGTCAGTCCCGATTCATAGCAACCCTGTATACGGTTTCCGAGATCAGCTGGTGAGTTTGAACCGCTGACCTTGTGGTTCAAACCGGCCCTGGCCAGAGGCTGCCCTCTGTGTTTCCGGCCCTACGCACCAGAGAGATGAGCACGTTCGCTCCTAGAGCGGCACAGGACCCGCTAGACGCCGCGACTCCGCCGCCCTTGTGGAGCTGGGTTTGCGAGCCCGGGCTGCGGGGCCTCTGGGGGATCCTGCCAGCGGCGTGGAGAAAAGTCCTGAGTCCCCGGGCCCGGGCCCGCGATTGCTAGAAGCGCCCACAAAACCTACCTGCTTCACTTAGCGCCGCGGCCGGGGCTCCCTGGTGTTGACTGGCGCCTGCAGACGTGTGGATTACCCCAGACCCAGGAGCGCCGCGGATAGCTGGGGAGCCTCTAGTGAGGTAGTGAGGTTGACCTCTTTGTTGTGCACGTTCGCGGAACCTCTGGTCCATTCGCCAGCAATTGACAAGAGTTTATTGTCCACTATGTGCGAAGCGCTGTGCTAGGCTCTGGAGCGCCATCTCAGGAGATACATTCCAGGCTTTCCAGTGACCCAACCTGTCACTGGCATCGCATGTGCCTTCATCGAGAAGTTCATCAGCATTTGTTGAACACCAGGTACGTGCTGGGCAGGTAGAGGCGATGTACAGGCGGGAGGATACCCGGAATACACGAGGGAATGCAAGGTGCTTTATTCCCGAGCTCACTTTTCCATGGGGAACACCCCACCTGTATCATTGTGGCTTTGAGGATAGAATAATAGGGTCGGGAATGGTCAGGGAAGTTTTACTGAGGAGGTGGCATTTGTTCTGGGCCTTGGGAATTGTACCCTATCAGATGAACTGTCCTGGCTGTAAACTACAAGGCTGGTGAAGACAACTTTTGAGCAGTCAGCATAGCAGTGTCATGAGGAGTTTGGAAAGCCCCTGCTTTCCTTGAAAGTAGAGATTCTGTTTTATTCCAGTGTTAGCCTCATACCTACCTGTAAAATGGTGGTGGTGGTGTGCCTTGGAGTCGGTTCCGATGCAATAGAAACCCTGCACAGGCTCTAAATCTTTATGGGAGCAGAAAGGCTCATCTTTCGCCCACGGAACAGCTGGTAGTTTCGAACTGCTGACCTTGAGGTTAGCAGCCCAATTCGTAACCACTATGCGGGAGAAAGATGAGGCTTTCTGCTCCTGTAAAGATTTACAGCCTCGGAAACACTGTGCAGGGTCACTATGAGTCGGAACAGACTACACGGTACTTAACAACAACAACAACGCTGACGTGTTAAATAAAATTTATTGTTGTTGTTATGTGCCGTGGAGTCGGTCCCGACTCATAGGACCCTGTACAGGGTTTCCGAGGCTGTAAATCTTTACAGGAGCAGAAAACCGCATCGTTCTCCCGCGGAACAGCTGGTAGTTTCGAACTGCTAACCTTGCGGTTCACAGCCGATTCGTAACCACTACGCTACCAGAGTTCCTTAAAGTTAATGGCGTGACAAGCAAAATCCAGCAAAAATCAGATCCTGGGGTGCCTAAATTTGCATTTTGCAAAGTTTGAATTTAGTTCGGTAAGGGGTTAGAATTGTGATTTCAGAAATAGTAATTCAGTACACGGACTCCTGATGTGACACTGTAGGATCAGCACTGGACTTCGAACCACAAGGTTGGCAGTTCAAGTCTACCAGTTGTTGCAAGGAAACCGTTTCTATGCAGTGTTACTATAGGTCAGACCCTACTCAATGACACTTAACAACAACAATCCAGTAACAGGATCAGTACTGGACTGTGAACCTTAAGGCTGGCAGTTCAGATCCACCAGCTGCTCCTTGGAAATCCTTTACAAGGTTGCTATGCGTCAGAACCGACTCCACTGCACTTTAGATCACAGTTCTATTCTGACACTATGGGGTCACCATGAATTGGAACTGACTGGATGGCAACTGGTTTGGTTTGGGTTTAGGAATAGATTGTGGGACGATGAGACAGTATTACCACATAGGAAATGACTGTAGTAGTGAATGTAAATGATAACAATAAAATAAAAAGGAGGAAATAGCTGCCAGAGGCGTTTTGGAAAGAAGGATTGGCAGGATTTAGTGTAGTAGTTACGAGTCTGTTTGCTAACCAGCCATTCCATGGGAGAAAGATGAGGTTTACTGCTCTGGTAAAAATTTACAGCCTTGGAAACCTTATACAGGGTCACTATGGGCCGGAACCGACTCCACGGCACACCACCACCACCACAGTGGATCTAGGAACTGGTTTCAAGCCTGAGAGCATGAAAGATGGTAATGATATCAATAAAAATAGAGACTTAAGAGTACAGCTCTGAGGGGAGTCCTGGTGTGGCACTGTGGGCTAATGCATCAGACTGTAAAGTCATTTGAACTGCAAGGTTGGTGGTTCAAGCTCACCAGCTGCTCCTTGGAAACCCTATACAGGGTCACTATGGGTCGGGATTGACTCCACAGCACTTAACTACAACAGCAGCTCTGAGAGAGCTCTAATTGGAAGGTGTTTTGAAAGGTGATGCAGGAGAGAGGCCTGCGGCTGGAGGTTTCCTGCTGGCAGTTGAAGCTGTGGATTTGGCATGAGAAAGATTGATAGATATTTGAGTGTTTTTGAGATGGAGATGTTCTGAAATTGTGACTAATGAGATCATGACAAGAGAAAATGGGGAGAAAGAACTTGAAGCATGTCTACTGTCTCAGGTATTGTTGCATAAAAGCATAAAATATAAATAACAGCTCAAGACTTAGTGACTTGCAGGATTTCCTCCTCATTATTCTATTATTGGAGTCCTGGTGTAGTACTGTGGGTTAATGCTCCAGTCTGCAAAGCCATTTGAATTGCAAGGTTGGCAGTTCAAGCTCACCAGCTGCTCCTCGGAAACCCTATATAGGGTCGCTGTGGGTCGGAATCGACTCCACGGCACTTAACAACAATAATTCTATTATTATTTCCATTCACCATGGCAGTGATTTTCTGTGTGATGTTACTGTCTCACTCCACAACATGAGTGTATATTTCTCATGATTAATTGGGCAGTTACACTACTATGGTCTCTCCCTGGGTTACTTATCTGCCTGCATTCCGCTGGTGGATCAGCTGGGGACTAGATTTCTCTGCACATTGCCTGGGGCTCCTAGGTTCTCATCCACAAACCACTCTGCATGGCTAGCATGGCAGTCTCATGTCAGTGTGCTGAGAGTTAAAAAAGCCGTTTCCTCTTATAATAACATTTTTGTTATGTTTTATTGATGAAAGTTTGAAAGCAAGTCATTAGCCAACACAGATATTAAGTGCCTTTGAGTCAGTTTTGACTCATAGGAACCCTGTATAGGGTTTCCAAGGAGTGGCTGGTGAGCTTGAAACACTGACCTTGCAGTGCAAACTGAACTTGTAGTCCATCGCCTTAACCCACAGCATCACACCAGGACTCCAGATATACGGAAGGGAAAATAGATTTCACTTTTTAATGTGAACAATGACAACATCTCATTACAAAGAATACTTGGGGATTATTATTTTAATGACTTTTGGAAATAGTCTACATTTAAGATTGACTATTCAGTGAGAGATACCCAGAGATAGATGGCTGATAGTGTAGTATCTTCTATTCATGTAGGCAGCCATATGAGTTCGCCGTGGGTAAAGTTATCCCTTTTTCTCAGCTCAAGTGTAAACTCCTCAAGCAATTTTTCTCTCATATTCCATCCATATTCTTTAGATCTTGTCTCGATGTCCATAGGGTTCAAGATTGTATGTATACTTTTGATTAATCCCACTGCACTGATAATATAGGCAAGCAGGTTCAACATTTACACACGACCTACTATGGGGACAATAATATTAGTATGTTGTAGAGTTTTGAAGCTCTTATAATTTTTATGTTACTGATAAACTTTCATGTTTCAGATACACATTTCTGAACCATAAACCAAAGCCAAGTGATCCCTGCCCAAGCATCTAAGCTTAACATGTCTGAAGCTTCAGGCCCTGCTCCTGAAGATGAAGAAGGCCCTGTAAAGGTGAAGGAGGAAGGTCCCACTTGGGAGCAGACATGTGGCTCACAGGACAAGAGCAGCTCCCACACTCAGGAGCTTTGCCGCCTACGATTCCGGCAGTTTTGCTACCATGAGGCTTCTGGACCTCGTGAAGCTCTGGCTCAACTCCGAGAACTTTGCTATCAATGGCTGAGGCCAGAGATACACACCAAAGAGCAGATCCTGGAGCTACTGGTGCTGGAGCAATTCCTGACCATCCTGCCTGGGGCGCATCAGGTCTGTGGCCAGGCACATCATCTCCAGAGTGGAGAGGAGGCAGTGACAGCGCTGGAGAATCTACTGGCAGAACCTGGAGACATGGGAAAAAAGGTGAGGACAGAGTTTGCCGTGGTGGTGGGAGGAGGAGGGGAAGAAATGGAGGAACATTTTTCTTGTACTCTTTTAACTTTTTATTTTTAAATAATTTTAATTTATACTACAAAAAATATTCACCCACCCAGACTCACTAGCTGTTTTAACATTTATTTAATGATTCTGCTACATTGCAGTTGTTGTTAAGTGGTTCACAGTCCAGTGCTAATCCTATAGCACCACACAATTACACAGCCAATAAGTTAGCTCCTCCCCTCTCCTTGTCCAGGGGTTGGGGTAGGAAATGATTTGCTGGTCAGACTTACATAGCCTCCCTTGACTTTGTGCCCCAGGGGCAAGTGCCTCGTTCTACCCCTTCATAGGCCTCTGCTTGTGTGTGTACTTATTTATTTATTTATTTTTACATACACACACACGAGGAAACTTCAAAAAGTTCATGGAAAAATGTTATCTTTCAATCCCATTTTTCCACAAAATTATCATGGCAACCCCATATACAACAGGATCATTGTAATCCATAAGGCCTTCATTGTTGGTTTTTTTGGAAGTAGATCACCAATCTACTTCCTGTTTCATCTTAGTCGGGAAGCTCTGCTGAGATTTGTGCAGTCATAGCAGCACACAAACCTCCACTACTGGACAGGAAGTGGCTGCACGTGAGGTGCACTGGCCAGATATTGAACCTTGCGGAAGGCAAGAATTCTGCCCCTGAACCATACACACACATCTATTTTTTTTCCTGAACCATTTGAGAGGTGTTTGCAGACCTTATGCCCCTTTGCTTCTAAACATTTCAGTGTGTATGTTTCCTAAGAACAAAGACATTCTCTTGAATAACCAGAATACAATGATCAAATATAGGGAACTTAAAGTTATGATGCTATCGTATTAATGATAGTCCTTATTTACATTTTGACATGTTGTGCCAATGACATTCTTTATAACAACCTTCCCCTACTCTTATTCCCCTCCCCCATAAGCCAAATACAACCCAGCATTATACGCTGCACTTAGTAGATGCACTTAGCTCTTTAGAGCTCGAATAATCCCTCGGTCTGTCATTGACTTTGACATTTAAAAAAAAAAAATGTAGGCTGGTTATTCGGTGGAATGCCCTCTATTTGAGTTTGCTTAATATTTTATCATGGTTAGATTTGAGCTGTGCATTTTTGGTAGATTGGTACAGAGGTAAGGTTGTGTCCTTCTCAGTGCGTCCCATCAAGAGACATATGATGTGAAAGGGAAAAAACAACCCAGCACCGCTCATCAACCACACAGCACACCAGATGGCCCGTCTAGAGACTTTTATTCAGGGTAAGGAAGTGGAAGGTGACCTCTGCCAGAGAGAGAGGGCAGGAGGCAGAAGAGAAGAAGCGAACGTCAACGGGAAGGGAATGATCTTATATAGGTTCAACAGGAAGGGAGTGGTCATTGCTGGGGTAATTTAGCTCCGGCCTATCAAAAGCCATGTTGCCCTTTAAACTACGTGCCTTGTAGCTTAGGGCGGGGAAACAGAAACCTAAGATTACAAAATGGAGTTGAAGGGAGGGGAGAGGGAAGAACCCGGAAGGTACAGCCTAAAATGGCGGACCTGATATTGTAACATGATGATTTGTCCCGTTACTGATGATGTAAGGTAGTATCTGTTAGATGTTACCACAATAAAATTTGTGTTGTTCCCTTTGCATTTAATAATTAATCGGTATGTGCTGTCTGTCTAATTTGCCCCTGTATCCCCAGAAAAAGGCATAGTTCTTAGTTGATGTATAGTTAGCATTTGCTGAATGAATGAATGTCTTTGTCTTATTACTCCTATCGTATACTCTGGTTCTTTAAAGCATTAAATGGGGCATGTCTTGTGTCCCTTGGGGATGTCCCTAACTGCTGTTAGGTCCAGTTCCCACCGGGCTGCCTTTTCAAGGTGAATCTTTTGTCCCCAGGCCTCAGTCTACATTCAAGGACAGGATGTACATCTAGCTGTGACTGAGTATCAAGGAGCCTCTTTGGAGTGTCAGCACCTCCAGTTCCTGCCCAGGGTAACCACCTTAAAGTGTGAACCTCCAGAGCTCCACATCCAAGAAGTGAGTGGTAAGTGCCAGAGGGTAAGTTTACTGGGGACATTGCAGTAAGACCACCGATTGGTTCATAGTCTAATCTGTGCCCTCAAGTATTGTTGTTTTTTGTCTACCCTGTATCTAAGAATGCTTTTAAAAACATGGGATTGTAAAATGTTGGAATTCTAAGATCAAATTATCCAAAGAATGATGTGCCTAGGGTCAACATAGGTAGAGCCTCTTCTAGTCTCCTGACCATCTGACCAAAGTCCTGTCCTCTACCACCTCTCTCTAGCCAACATTTATAATTCTCCATCTGGGGATGTTTTAAATGTTTATTTGGTAACTTTCTACAAACTTATAACTACCCTCTATGATAGCATTTTCTTTATTCTCTTCCTTGTCTCTGATTTTCCAACCATTTTAAAAAATGGCACTTTCTACTTAAACAGTTTCTATCCTTTTCTCCCTTTAAAGTACACTCTCCTTTCCACAAAGCTCTCTCCATTTCCAAGCTTCACTTCTAGGTAAACCATCTCAAGTACTGGTCAGTTCTCTATAGGCCTCTGGCAGTGGGATAAAGTAAACAGAATTCCAAGTCTGCAGCCCGCAGTTTGCCAACTGACTGGTGAGAACAGACAGTACACAGAAAGCCCAAAGAGGACATCGTAGGACTCCATAGTGTGAGTGTTTTTAACCTTTGGTTGAGGGCCACTGCCAATTCTTTTATGAGTCTGTTGAACACTATGAACTCTTGGAAAATGCATGTATATTCAAAATTTTGCACATAAATTCATGGTTTAGAATTATCCGCATAGGCCATTTATGAATATTGATGTTTTAATGCTAAGAACAGAATAAATGGTTCATATAATTAGTGATATGGGGGCATTGTTGTTGTTGTTAAGTGCCTTCGATTCCAACTCATAGTGATCCTGTATAGGGTTTCCAAGGAGCGATTGGTGAGCTTGAACCATCGACTCAGGGGTTCAAACTGACCTTACAGTCCAGTGCATTAACCCACAGTGCCACACCAGGATGCCAAAGAACATAGTCAGCAGGATTCAAATCTGTGCGGAGAAACCCCAATAGATTCTAGTCCATCACCTTCATCACTCGATCATGACTACCTGGGAACATTGTTGTTGTTAAGTGCCGTCCAGTCAATTCCGACCCGTGGCGACCCTGTATAGGGTTTCCAAGTAGCAGCTGGTGAGCTTTAGTTGGAGATAAAATGAAACATACAGGGTTCAGATTACTTGGGGTATTTATGTACCCATTGCAGCATAAATAGGACTTGGGGTTTCCCTATTTACATAACTGATGGCTATATTATAGTTCTTCAGTTACCAAAAACCGCCACCACATGGAGCCCCAAGTTTTTATTTATGTGAAGAATGTAGAGGGACAGAGACCTTTAGTCTTGGTTCAGGAAAGCTGAACCTTGAAAGAGGACAGGATTTAGAGTGGAGTAGAAGTGGGGCTGAGTAAGCATTCCCCTTTATCTATGAGATGGTAATCATATTTCTAAATTGGACATCATTTCATTTTGATTAGAGAGGAAAGGAGATAATGGAAAATGGAGGTGAGTAGTTGTCACAAAGGTGATGGTAATTGACAGAAAAACAACAGTGGTTGAAAGATATAAAATCTTTACGTGAAGGCTTAAAAACTGTGAGATAATTACACAGAGCTGGATTCCAGTAGCATTCTCTCAGGAAGAGGGGTAGCTTCCTTAGGCCCCTAATAAACCCCCACAAGGATACACCACGCAGTGGTGTGTCATTCTCTCTGTTCCTTCAGGAAGCTCTCCTTTTCATTTCCTAGGGCATTGTTGTTGTTGTTGTTGTTATGTGCCATTGAGTCAGTTCCGACCCATAGCAACCCTGAACAGGGTTTCTGAGGCTGTAAATCTTTACGGGAGCAGAAAGCCTTATCTTTCTTCTGCGAAGCAGCTGGTAGTTTCGAACTGCTGACCTTGCGGTTCACAGCCTGTTTCGTAACCACTACGCTACCAGAGCTCCTTTAGGGCATTTTATACCCTCCTAAATAAAAAAACAGTTGCCATCAAGTCCATTTTGACTCATGGCAGCCTCGTGTGTGTCAGAGCTGAACTACCCTCTATAGCCAAATTTTCAGAGATAATCATAAGGAGTTTCTTCTAAGGCACCTCCAGCCAGGTGAACTCAAACCTCTAACCTTTCAGTTAGCAAGCAGTACATTAACCATTTGCAAGCAGTACATTAACCTTGTATCTTTTTCTTCCCATATTTTGTTGTTTTATATATTAATTAGGTTTTGTTTGAAAGTTTACACAACAAATTAGAGTCTCATTCTGTGGATTAGTGCACTGAACTGCATAGTCTGTTTGAACCGCAGGGTTGGCAGTTCAAGCTCACCAGTGGCTCCTCGGAAAACCTACACTGGGTCATTTTAGGTCAGAACTGACTCGACAGCACATACATACTGTTTAGTTACGTTTTTCACAATGTGTCTGCTTTCTTATTATTTACATCCCAGTGGTTCTGTTTCCATTAATCTTGCTTTCTTGTCCCCTCTTGCCATCTCATCTTTGGTCTAGGATAAATGTTTATAATTCGATGTCATTGAGGTAATTATTTAATCAAAGTACTCGTGGGTGGTATTAATTTCATAAACCAACGTATCATTTGGCTGAAAGGTGAGCTCCAGGAATGGCTTGAGTTCCCAGTTTAAAGGGTATCCCAGGGCAATAGCCTAGGGGCTTCCTCTAGTCTCTACTAGTCCAGTAAGTGTGGCTGTGTTTTTAAGAATTACGTTTTCTACATTTTTCTCCCATTCTATCTGGGACCACATACTATGTCCTGGTCAGAATGGTTGACAGTGGTATCCAGGCAACATCTAGTTCTTCTGATCACAAGGAAGATGAGGTCTTTGTTTGTGTAGACTGTTAGTTCTGTAGACAAGTTTCTTGTTTGAGTCTTTGGTTACTTGCTTTCTCTTTAGCTCTGGATTAGTATCCTTAGATCTTATTAACCTCTGCCAAATATTCTGGAGACTTTGGCTAAGGGCCTGCCTGCCTACCAGGTACAAACAGCTAGTCATAACACAAGCACATTTTTCTAGCCACCTGGAGAAGGTGGGGGCTGGCTTACCATCTGGTCACCAGAGGAGCATGGGTAACAAGATAAAATTTGCCTGTGTATCTATGGGAGCCACAGGTAGGTATTTGCAGTGCCAGTATGTTTTCTTTTCTTTGAAGCCACTCACAGAACTCAAGATGACTACGGCGCATCTGGTTGGCTGCCATTGGTCAATAGTCTCTCTTTTGTTTGTCAATTCTGCTCAGCTTTCTCTTTTAGTAAGCATTCAGTCCACTTCTCTATCCCTTCATCTGAAGCTCAGCATTCAGGACTACCATCTGCATCTGTTTCATCTGGTTTTCCATGTCTTCATTGTAGAGAGTCCGTACAGCCTTTCTGTCTAGTCTGTCATTGTACCTAACCTTCTTTGCCGTCATTCTTGTCACCTGATTTTTGATGTTTTTTCCTATGTATATATATCAAAGTGCATTACTGTAAAGCACCTCACAAGTTTATTAGTTCCACATAGTTTTATGGATGGGAAACAACTAAAGTTCTACAACAGGAGTGGGGAACCTTTTTTCTGCCAAGATTTATAACATCATTCATGAGCCATACAAAATTATCAACTCAAAAATTAGCCTGCTATATTTGATCAAACATTTCATTAACTCCTCATCCCTAATGTAATGGCTGGAACTGTGGTTGCTTTGGCAGGGCCAGACCAAATGATTTTGCAGGCCCCATAGAGTCCTGGAGTCCTGGTGTGGTGCTGTGGGTTAATGCGTCAGACTGCAAAGCCATTTGAACTGCAAGGTTGGCAGTTCAAACTCACCAGCTGCTCCTTGGAAACCCTATACAGGGTCACTATGGGTCGGAATTGACTCGACGGCACTTAACAACAACAACATACAGGAATCCTGGTGTGGTGCTGTGGCTTAATGCGCCAGACTGCAAAGCCATTTGAACTGCAAGGTCGGTGGTTCAAGCTCACCAGCTGCCCTAAACCCTATAGAGTGTCGCTATGGGTTAGAACCGATTCAACGGCACTTAACAACAACATACAGCCCGCAGACCAGACATTCCCTACCCCTGTTCTAGAATCTTAGACTTCTTGAGAGAAAATCGTTGTGATGTTCTGACTCAAATCATAAGATCTGAGAGTGTAGAAACCTTGTCTTTTCTCTTTTCCTTAGTTATTGCAAGTTTAACAAAAATATAAAGGTTTAGGAGGCCAGCCCCCACAAAAGACACTCCTAAAGATGTTAGTGCCTTACCCACGATTCTTGTCTCCTTCCTTCACAGGGCCTGCTCCCAAGCGGTCTGCCCTATGGGAAGAAAACTCCAGAGACCGGGTAACAGTGCCTGTGTTGAACTCTGCCAGGCCCCAGGTGAGCAGGGTGCTGAGGCTTGTGGGAGTTTCAGCAGCAGCCTTCTGTCCCCCTGAACACCTCCTGATCTCTGAGAGTTTTTCATGGGGCACAATCCCCCCTCCTCTCTTTTGTCACAGGTCATCTGTGAAGTTAGGCCTCAGGTTTCAGAATTTGCCTCTACTTGTTTGATGCTTAGTCACTGATGTCTGACTTTTGAAGTCTCTAATTTCTCTCTCCTGTCCAAGAGCCAGGACCTTTTCTCACACCTTTACATTCTCAGTATTCAGTACATGCCCGGTTATTATTTGGTGATGAATTTGGTGACATTCTGTATATCCAAGACAAAACTTCACCTCTTCTTCACATGATGAGATATTTTCCCCACTTGTTATTTTCTCAGTTGTTGTTAAGTGCCATGGAGTTGGTTCTGACTCATAGCAATCCCGTATAGGGTTTCTGAGGCTTTACATTTTCATGGGAGCAGAAAATCTCATCTTTCTTTCCCGGAGCAGCAGGCAGGCTTGAACTAGGGATCTTGTGGTTCACAGTCCAGCACTTATTGTATGGAGTCACTGTGCTCCCCTTCCCTCAGTGAGTCAATAATTTTCCATAGTGTTTGTAAAAAACAAAGCAAAATCTATCTCTCATCTAAGCCCTTTTATACACTGCTGCTAGGTGATTTTCTCAAGTTTTCAAGTTTGCAGTTCTATCAGACCCAATGTGTCTTGCTTATTAATATTTTACTTGCCTGAAAAGAAATATGCAGAAAGTAAAACCTATCAGTGGGTATTTTTATAATCATAATTTCCTTAACTACAATATAATGGGGAAAAAAACAAAGAATAAGTAATTTATTTTAATAAAAAGGTATGTATTTTTCAAAATGTAAATCCTTGTACATGATTACACCAGGAGAAATAAGAAAGTAATCATTCATTTACACTAATGTGTAATCAAGTTTGGGTTAAAGAGAAGATCAGAATTCAAGGAAAATGAAAGAACTGACGTGTGGGTAGATGACAGAATGAGAACTAGTGTTGGGATTCATAATAAAAACGAGACAAAAAAAAAGAGGGAAGTCACCTGCAAAAAATGTTACCCATCATCCCTCCCACAGCCTTCAGCTTGGCTCAGTCATTCACTGCAGTGGCCACACAGAACTCAGACACTCTACTCACAGTCATGGGGCTTAAATGCTCAGGACACAGTTCTTCCAGTCAGGACAGCCTCTGCTCAGCCATGCCCACAGGCAAGCCTCTCGCTGCCTAAGCAATGTTGCAAAGCTCTTTTAGAACTGCTGAGAAATGCTTACAGGGAGCACTACCCCACTAGAAGCCTCAGCCTGAAGGCACTTGGCTCTAGCTCTGTGGGTCAGCAGATGCAGCTCCCCCAACTAAGTGCCTGGAAGCACCCCACTCCACAACTGAGCCTCCTGCCCTAAGGCACCCAGCTTTTCTTGCTCCATGGCTGGGAAGCCCACCGCTCTATCTCATGCTCTGGCTCTTGGTTCTTCGGCTGCTGCTCCTCTGCTCCTCTTCCGGTGTCACAGCTTTCTGTCTCTGGGTTGAGGCGGTTCAATGCACAGGGATCTTGGGATCCAAAGGACACACTCTCCTCCTGGCTCATCTTTGATTGTAATGAGATTCCCCCCATTCCTGCTTCTGAGATGGCTCATTTTAAACCCATGTGAAAAGTTCTATGTTTTTACAGTCACAATTAACTCAATTAACAATCACAACTGAATCATATCATCCTATCAGCATCTTTTTCCACCTTTACTTACTCTGACCCATCAGGAAAAAGTTTGGTAGGAAGTACAAGGTGGAACTGGCTAGCTCAGTTGGTTAGAGCGTGGTGCTAATCATGCCAAGGTCACGGGTTCAATCCCGTATGGGCCACTCGGAAAAGCAAAGAGTATTTTGAAGTCCTGGTGTGGTGCTGTGGGATAATGCACTGGACTGCAAGGTTGTTTGAACCACAGGATCAGTGGTTCAAACTTACCAGCCGCTCCTTGGGAACCCTATACAGGGCCACTATGAGTCGGAACTGACTCGACGGCACTTAACAACAACAACAACAACACAAGGACTATGGATAGAAGAGCCATATGAAGTAATCCACTGTACTGCATCATCTTAACTGAAGTAAGGGTATGATGTCAAGGCAATTTATGGACTGACAAAGGTACGAAAACAAGATGGGCATTTAGTGCCAAATTGATTCTGTTTTCTGTTTGCAGTTTGTGATGGGGTAATGATGAGAGAAAACATCACCTGTCTTGAAAACCCTTTGCTTGTTGAAGCAGACATTCACTCTGTAACAGAAAGGGCACTGTGTCCTATCTCAGGCAGTGGGAAGAAGAGGGTAGTCTGGAAAATTAAATAAGAAATTAAAATGTTAATGAAAAGTCATGTGGTTGACCTTTAGGGGCAATGGCAGACAAAAATTAGAAAATGGCAGGTGTCTCCCAAAATTAAGAAATTATTTCATTGTATAATTTTTCCAGCAGTCTGCTAGATTTGAAGTATTTTAAACCTTTGTAAATGAAACTCAGTGAGGTCTCTGCACTTAATGTTAGATTCCAGATATGTTCAAAGAAGTCTCAAAATCCTTCATGTTATATCTACATTCAATTTAATTGTATTTGTAGTAACTGCAATATTGCATTGAAATGGCATAGTATGAAACTGCTAGAAAATAGGATTTGTGAATCCATTAACCATTACTTTTGAGATAATGTCTTTATTCCTTGTAATCTTATCTCTCCACAAACCTTCTCCTATATTACTTGGTTAGCTTCCTGGTGTGGCGCTGTGGGTTAATGCGCCAGATTGCAAAGCCATTTGAACTGCAAGGTCAGTGGTTCAAACTCACCAGCTGCTCCTTAGAAACCCTATACAGGGTCGCTATGTGTCGGGATTGACTCAACGGCACTTAACAATAACAACATATTACTTGGTTATTCAATATCATCCTATGAAAAACTTTTCAGGATTCTTAACCTACTTAATAGCAACAAATTTATATTGATTTTAAGTTTAGTGAGCAAGACACTTGAAAGTTGTGCACGCTATGGGGCTGGTCTTTGTAGTGTGGAACTGTCCCACACATTGCAGGATATCTACCATCTCTGACATCATCTTCTAAATGACACTGACTGGAGATGTGGGCATCGTTATTGTAACTGGAAAGGTTCCCACAAATACATAGAATGTCCGAGTGGTTTGTCTCACTGGTCTACAGTGGTATTCAACATCATACGTAATTGAACTTCTTACCCTTACCACAGTGAACACAAAGCGATCATTTCTTTTCAGGCATCAGTGAAGACTGAGGAAGAAGCAGCCCAGGCCCTTGCCTCCCAGACGTGCCCACATTTGAGTCTGGCTCAGAGGGACCTCTATGGGGACTCAGCTCTGGAGAAGGTTACAAGCCTTGGTCTGAAGAGTAAGGACAGACCTCTGGCCAGTCCCCTGTTGAAGCTCACTTTCTTCCAGTGTTACCTGGATGTTTCTTGTGAACACCTGTTCTCTAGAATCCCTGACCTTTTCTTCCCCTCCTTCTAGCCTCCAGTTCTCTCGGCTCCTATTGTTTTGTGTCCCTCTCAGTCATTCCTCTGGATTCCCTGATTTTGTAGCATCTCCTCCTTTATACCTCTGTTTCTTCCTTATCAAGAGTTTTATATAACTTATCATTTGTAGACATCCCGTCACACCTGGAAATCCCACAGTCTCCTCTGCCTGCTTCACATTAGAAGAAGTTCTTGTCACTCTTTGAGAGTGCAACTGTTCATGTGACATTGTCTCCCAATGTGCCTTTCCCTGTTAGATCCTGTCGTTAGTTGGGGCCTGGTGCCCCAGTTGACCATTTTCATTATCTTTTCCTATTGTGTCACCTTTCATGGGCTTGATGAGACTGAGGACTCTTGAGATACCTGTTGATTTATAGTTTTTTTTTTTGTGTGTGTGTGTGTTTTTAAATTTGTAATATTCTATTGTGGACATTTTTTATATTTTGAAAATCAGGGAACAGGTGACATTTAAATACTTTATGTATTATTTCAGCTGAAGAAGTTGTGGCTAAAGATGGATTGTTTTGTGCAAAGCAGGAAATTTCTGAAGAAATGGAGCCAAGTGAAGTGACCTCAGGAATGGCTACCAGGTAAGTGTCAGGGTCCCTGTAGGTATAAGATGAAATAAGAGAGAGCAGGCAGTTAGAAGTCTGCTTCATTGGGATATACAAAAAGAGTGCCACGTCCACCATTGTGATCCTAGAAGGACTCATGCCAAGAGTGTGACCTGTCAATATAGAATCATTATGGAAAACCTTAACTTGGAGCACAGCTCTTGTTGGCACCCAAGAATAGTATGCTGGACCAGTCTACCCTGCATGATCCCTCTTCACTGGGCTCCCTTGTGGTTTTGTATAGAAGTTGAAAGGCAGAGAATTTAGATTATTAGAGTGAGGACTGCTGGTGAGGTCGCCATGGCACTTAAGTAAGAAATATCATCTGAGCTGAAGGGGATATAGGGTGGACAAGTAGAATGTTTTCAGCCTTCACTCAAAAGTCTTGAACAAAGAAAACAATATGAAGAAAGTAGCTAATGAAGGAGAAATTTAAGTTAGTAGATGTTGCGAAGTACAATCAAGTCGGTTCTGACACAGAGCAACCCTGTATAGGGTTTCTGAGGAGCTGCTGGTGAGTTTGAACCACCAACCTTGTGGTTGTGGTGGTGGTGGTTATGTGCCATGGAATCGGTTCTGACTCATAGCGACCCTGTACAGAATTTCCGAGGCTGTAAATCTTTACGGGAGCAGAAAACCTCATCTTTCTCCTGCGGAACAGCTGGTAGTTTCGAACTGACCGTAAGGTTTGCAGCCCGATTCGTAATCACTATGATACCAGCGCTTCTTTGTGGTTGTTGTTGTTAGGTGCCATTGAGTCGGTACCGACTCATAGCAACCTTATGCACAGCAGAATGAAACACTGCCCGATCTTGGGCCAACCTCACAATTGTTGCCACACTTGAGCCCGTTGATGCAGCCACTTTGCCAATCCATCTCGGTGGAGGTCTTCCTCATTTTTCTGACTCTCCACCTTACCAAATATGATCTCCTTCTCCAGCAACTGGTCCCTCCTGACAATATGTCCGAAGTATGAGAGACAAAGTTTGGCTTTCTTGGATACGTTGCTGTCTCAGACAGAATCGGGCTTGTGGTTAGTTGGGAAGAAAAGGACAGGACATGTTGACTGGAAAGTAACAGTGTGTCACAGTTATGAAGCATATTATTAGGGATTTGAAACTTTTGTCACAGAATGGCACAGGCTAAGATGGACTAGAGAAAAGTGTGGATAAAGAAAGAATTGGATTTGGAGCATCAAGTGATGAACTGATAAAAGAAGAGAAGCCAAGACATATTTATATTGAGAAGCCTGCTTTTCAGGCACTCCTTTAGAAGTTTCTTTTATATTTCATTTCATATAATTCTTTCCTGCACTCACACATTCAGCAAACACTTTATCAGACATATTCAAAAGTCACATAAAATACAGAGCTTGTGCTAGTGCTAGTGATAACCAGCAGGGTCACCCATGGTGGAAAGGTTTCAGATGAGCTACAAAACAAAGACAGACTAGGAAGAAAGAGTGACAAACTACTTCCGAATCGC